TTCAATTTTAAATATTCAGAGAGAGGAACAGCAGGTCAGGGCTTTTTCCATTTTTTATGCTAGAACTCCAAGAGGTGTCGTAGTACTCTAGAGCACTAGCAGCACTTTGTCTCAGTGACAAAACCACTTTATTCATTCCTTAATAACAGCCCACCAGACAACTAATTAAAATAAATCCCTCCTTTATAACACATATTATTAAATCTATAGTTTAGTGCATGACAGGGATAGGCAATTTGATTGCCAGAAGGCTTAGAAAATTTTGATTGAGGCAATAATTGTCAAGTGGCCAATTTCTTTCTTAAGGGGTATAAATTAAAGCCATTAAAAGTATTTACAAAGATAAATGCACTTACTATTAAACTGCACTCCTCCTTGGCAAAATAACTGACCACTTAGAAAATGGAAACCCCTCTTCCACAGCCATTCAGAAGGAAAAAAGAAAACTACAAAACCAAAATGCTATGATGGGGCCATTTCTTCATTCTTATGGAAGACACCCAGGTATATACAGCAAAAAAGGCAAGTAAGCGGGAACAGGCACATTCACAAGATGATTAGCAGAGAAATGGGCAATGCAACAAGGAGGGGGAAATGGGAAGAGAGAGAGAGAGAGAAAGAGAGAGGTCCAGAGGAGAAACAAAGGAGGAAAGGAAGGATGCTATCCAGACAGAGACAGTTTAACGGCTAGGCACACAGTTTTGCTATAACAACTACAGGAAGTCAGCCTATACATAATGGCTAAGCCAAGGGGCAGAGAGAGAAGTCTATGTAACCAAAAAAATATAAACATGTCTTTTAAAATGTAGGTATTTCAACTGTCTTCTTAATTTTCAAGAGTGCTAAATACTCTCAGCACCTGTTGATATCAGCAGGGTTCTAGGCTACTTCGTAGCTGAGAAAACCAGGTCAAATTTATTTATCAGCTTAACCAGGGATTTAGGGATCTAACTTTAGGCACCTACTGGTGAAAACCAACAGCTACAGCAGAGATGGCATGGGAAAAACAAAGGCACAAAGACAGACATCACGTTCCCACTGATTTTCATGGTGAGTTAGACACTCTTTACCATTTAGGTCTTGAAAATCATCCCAAAATCATTTAACAGGAGCAGCTCATGGGACAATCATACAAGAGATGGAACTGGGCAGAGAAAGTTACAAGAGCATTTAAACAATTTGCTTCTTATGCACAAACATCTGAGCAAATTATATCTCAGTATAAATTATTATATGTAGAGCTCTGTTCAGGCTTTGCAATCCCAGGCGCTGCGTCTTTATGAATCCAAAAGCTTTCTAACATCCTCATGGTTCGAGTTCATTTTTGTCTACTATAGGATTATATCTTAAATAGGTTTTATTTTCATCTTCTCTCTCTCCTTTCTCAACCACCTGCTTACTATCTTTCTGTTTTGACATTTCCCCACACAGTATAACAACAGATGCTACATTATTTACTGAACCCGATCAATTATATTACAGAAAAAATAAACAACAGTAGCTCATTAGAGCTCTTTTCTTTGTGCAAAGAATACCTAGCTCCCCAAAGTAACTAGTCTCCAAGGCTTCAACATAAAATGACAATTTACAATGGATATTCCACACCAGTGAACCAGCTTAGAAAACAATTATGAGATGGATCATGTTAACAACTCTTAGATCTCTATAAGCAATGTGAATTTTGATGTTAAAAAGGATGTTCAAGATGTGAATAGATCAATAGCCAGATTTCAAATATATGGATTGAACATAAAACCCCTTCTGTAAGCAAACACTGTTGCAGAACAATAGACTAGAAGTAATCTTTATACTTGAACATAGGGAGCGTTAGTAAATAGCATTGTTAAAATTCCCTTTGTTTTGCTAAGCAAATAGATCTTTTTATTTTCGTTATTGCAGTTTGTATTAAAACAAGGAAGCCAGTTATAGTTAGAAACGTGGACCGGTTTTGCAGCTTTTCAGTAAGAAAACAGTTTCCAAAGGCTATTCTATTAGAAAAGGCAGGATAGTAGGTACAATACAGCGGAAGAGAATTACTGTTTCTATGCATGCAGGATTACTTGATGAAAGACAGAAGGAAGATGCACACTAATTACATAAATTAGAAGATAAGCAATCCAATTGCTGAAGTCTTATTGCTGCCACAATCCTGATTCATATGAGTTTGTTAGTAACTTTATTGAATTGCAACCTATTAATTATTCACAACAGAATTCTTACACCCCTATTTTCTGCAATGCTCCTCTGCTTTCCCCTCTAATCACCTCTTAACTGAATTCCTGACCTGTGAAAGCAACAGGAGTTAAGAGCAGATCAAATGCTGCAGCATGGTGCAGAGAAAGTAGTGCATCTCTTCCAAGACACTAAATACTATAGTTCAGACTGAATAAACTATTCATGATGCAACACTGTTTAAAAGGTTCTGGAAGCTCTTACATGCTCAGGTTCTTGGATGCAATTACCTTGGTCAGAAAGATGTATGCAAGGTGAATTGTTTACACAATTTGCTTATCAAGTTTATCTTAGAGAATAAAATATTACGTTGGTAGCTAACTTTTTGGCAGCTGTATAATGCAATTTTTCATATATCAGAAAAGTACACAAGACTGAAATGTCAAATATACATTTAAGTCACTTGAGGGGGAAAAATGAAAGGACATGATTTACACAGGAATTTACCAGTTCCACAGACTTTAATCAAGAGGAAAATTAAATGAAAATATAATGCCAGATTTCAAATCTCTTTATAAGAGAGTCAGATCAAGTAAATTACGTTAATGATCAAAAAAAGACAGGTAAGAGCTGTTATATAAATGTATAGCATTATTAAACACGCTCCAAAAATATATGTACAGTGGATTAGGGGTGTGCAAAGCAGGCCCTATTCGATTCGGATTCAGATTCGGCCCAAATCAGGGACAGCGATTCAATTTGTTGATTCAGATCACTGTCCCCGATTTGATTTGGCTGAATCCAAATCTAAAGGTTCGATGCTGATTCTATAGACACAGCTTTAAATGTCTTTTCTACATACCTCGAGGTACCAGTGCGGCTCGTGAACGCTGCGATGCTGGGGCAGATGGAGGCGTCCCACAGAAATGCGGGGGGGGGAACACGACATGACCCCCACACATGCTTGGCGGCAAATCCAGAAGTGGACCAGAAGTACTTCCAGTCCATTTCCGGGTCCGCGGGGGAACACACTGGGGACTCCCCTCCGTGCTCCTGTAGGACACTCCATGAGACCCACCATCTCAGCATTCACAAGCCGCCTGCTACCTAGAGGTATGTAGAAAAAATATTTAAAGCTGTCTATGTCTGAATCACCAAATCCATTCGGAGGGTTCTGATTCGATTCGGAGAAATTAAATGGTGCTCTGATTCGATTTGGATTCAGAGATTTGGCTACCAAATCAGGCCGAATCTCCGCCAAATTGAATCAGGGACCGAAGCTTCTCACAGTTGCGAATATATCCTTGTTTATTATTCGCAAATAAGGTGCTAATGATGGGTGAAATCCTAAGCCCACCAAAGCCAAAAGCAAAACTCCCAATGACTTAAAAAAGGCTAGGGATGCACTCCAGAACTTGGTATGGTCATAGCACTTTCAATTTGAAAATCTTACTTGAGAATCTCAAACATTATCTAGGTTTGCAAATGGCTCTGTGAAGAAGGTAATAGATAACAAATGGACTACTTCACAAGCCACTGACATACAGTGGTGCAAGGTAGCTGTTTAATGCATAGAGCAATGCTTATTTCTCCAGCATTCTTTATGGACTGCTAGCCTGATGCATAGATATCTGGGGGTTGGATATGGGGGAAGAAGGTAATTGTGCTGTTTCTCCTCTTATCACCAAGTTGGACTTTACTTGGAAATGAAGGAGGAAGACAGAAGTGGCCCTATGCATAATCTTCACACTTGTTGCATGAGGCTACCTTGGCAAGAAGGAATGTATGGCAGAACTTCATGCTAAACCAGGGGTGGGCAATTATTTTGGGCAGAGGACCGCTTACTGAGTTTTGGCAAGCCATCGAGGGCCGCATGACAGGCAGCTCAGGGCAGATAAATATTACTTTTCTAAATTTATTAGGGGCCCCGCAGGCCGGATAGAATGGCCTGGTGGGCCACATCTGGCCCCCAGGCCGCATTTTGCCCACCCCTGTGCTAAACTGTCTGGGAGGAGGGACTGCTTGTGAAATAGCCTACAATCCGCACAGGCTGTTTGCTTCGGAGAATGCCAAACAGGACACTTACAGGATAGCTGTATTGCAATAATCAAACTCCTGAGGGACTGAGTGGCTGAAATTGAGGATCTTTTGGGAAACATCAACACCATGGTAGCATATATTCAGCACCTTAATTTCCACCCCACACTTCCAGAGGTGTCTCCAAACAAGCCCCTCGAAAGCTCAATGGCAACCTGCAGCTGCCCCCAAATCTGAGTCCAGCTCTTTCAGTCTGCCAAAAGCTTAACGATTGAAAAGGTAGGGAACAATTTTCCCTAATTTCCACAAGATGTGGTTTAGATCTCCGCTCGAGGGTTCACCTACATGATGGCTCGGTTCTGACAAGGTAGCATTCTGCTCCCATGAGACACTGCATCTTGGTGAGGGACCTGTTTTGTACCATGCTCAGGCAGTGTCTCTTACAGGGATGGTTTGCCCGGCATGGTGGCTAGCGGGGTTTTCAAGGGATTAGCTATTGACTCACTAAGGGCTTCCCTGGTACAGATTTGTAAATACACTTGTGGTTGTGGTTTAAAACATGTATGTGTATGTTATTAGTAATTTATTTTTGCAACGATACTAATAATGCAATTTTTAAATGGTCAAATACAATGATAAAGAATCCTATTTTAAAGGAACAGTGAGTCTAAATAGACTCATTAGATTTCGGGCTTGAGACATTAAATGGGAAAGTGTTTCCACTCAGACTCCAAGTTAACAACTAGAAGTCGAAAACCTATGAAAACTAATGAGTTCAAAGAAAACTGAGACTTGATCAACAGATCAATTTTGGGGCTTCTAAATTAAAAAGAAAACATCACTTGGAAGACAAACCAGCTATGCAACTTGTTTGCTCATGATTTTTCCTACTCTCCATTATGCTTGACCAGAAAAAGAATTAAATAAATCCAAAAACTGAAAACCATCTGTGATGCTATGTTCAAAAAACAGAATCTCCAGAGACAAGGTTTCAGGATTTGGCTATAGGATTCTGTAATTTAGGGATCTATAAATATTAAAATCAATCTCAGATTTCCACTTAAAGTATGTATATTTTCATACAAAGCAATAAAAACATAGGTGAAATAAAAGTGAAGTTTTTAAAGCGTCTGGTCAGTAGGGCTGAGAGATTTGTCACAATGATTTTTCTCTAAGAATTGCTGATTAAACATTTTTCGCCTTGCAGTTGCCCACAGTTAGCCTTTGAGACACATAAATCCAACCACTAGACAGCTCTTGGTTTTGGGGGGTAGCTGAACTGTATGAAGGTGGGTTCTTGATAATAACTGTATGAAATAATGCCATTTGGTCTATAACTGATAAAGCCAAGACCATCATAAGACTCCTCCTGGGTGTACACACTGAACTGGCCCCTGTCAGACAGCTGGTATAATATCTTGGTCTAATTCATAGAGCTGATGAAGCTAAATTAGAGGCTCAGAAACTCTTGCATTCGCATCTGAGATCTAATGCTCACACCCTCTGTGGCATTACTTAACCTATCGGCCTCAATAGTCCCCAGGTAACAAATGTGAATATTAATACTTACCTCCAGGAGGGTTGTGATGATTAACTAGCACAACTATAAAAGTGCTAATATTGACCGGCACACCACAAATTCCACTTCACTAAACAAATGACCTCACAATCACTTTGTGACAAAGGAAAACATTGTATCCATTTTACAAATGCAAGAACCAAGGCAAGATGCTTTTTACCAGCCCAAAGTAATTGGAAGAGCAGTAGATTGTACAATAAAGACTGGTTTGTAGAAAAGACACAGAATTGACCAATGGAATAAAATGACTGAATCATACTAAATTTCCTAAAAACTACAAGAAATTGGAGAGTGTCCTGTGCATTTAATGCTCACACAAAAAATGCAGTCAACTTGGAACAAAGGTTGCAGATTGCTTATCCCACCCCCAGCCCAAATCCCCAAAGTTGCCTCAGCAGGCTGACTGTCCCACCTCGCGTTCTTCTTCCTGTTCTTTTCGAATCTGTTCCAAACGAAACTGTTCTGCTATTTCTCTCTCCTGAGCTTCCCTCTATAAAAAGAAAGAAACAATAATCACGATTATATTCAAGTTATAGCTAAGCCTGTTTGGTGACTTATTGTATTCTCTCACATGCAACATTCCCATAAATAACACATGCACCTTGTTTTTGGAAGGCTGAATGTAGAATAAAAAGATTTTTCCAGAGTCACAGTCAACTGTGTAACAAAGCCCTCCAGGAAACGTAGCATATCCAGGAAATGTGGCATCTCAGGACTTCCTGGTGCCAGCAGTCTCACCCAGACCGTCTCCTGAGATGCCACACTTTTTGGTCACTCTGTGTTCCCAGATGGACTTACTCTATTCTGTGTCACATGAGATCAGGCCCCTGGGGTGAGCAGTGGCAGCACGGTGGTTAATGAAGTCATTGCTTGCCCTCCCACCGACTGCCAGCTCCCTACTGACACATCCCCCCAGCGTGGCTCTGTCCATGGGAATTTGGCAGTGGGGCCCCTCCCTCCCGGAGCCCCGTGGACCAAGTGAAAAAGTGCCAGACCCAGCTCATGAGCAAGATATGATTGACACTGGCTGCGTCTACATGAGCGGCACACTGCACAGTTGTTACTGAGCGGTCATTTAGTACTTGCTTGTGCATAAGCAGGAAAAAGCTGGGAGCAGGAAAAAGCCAGGCAGACCCCGGCTGTAGTCCCAGGTGGGGGTCGGGGGCTTAAAGCCCTCTCTTGCCCTACTGCCTAGCCCAGGGTCTGGCCACCCCACTTCCCCACTCCAGTGGTGAGCGGGGGGAAAGCCTGGCAGGGGCTGCTCCACCCCCAGCAGGCACACCCGGCTGCAGTCTGGAGCCAGGTTTGCCAACCCCACCTCCACCCCCTTCTCAGCCAGCTGGAGAAGTGATAATGCTCTGGCTCTGGAGCAGAGGAGTGGGGCCAACCCTGCTCTATGGAGCAGCCAGCACAGGCCAGCCAAGGGCTGGGAAGCATGCTGGGACGCTGGGGGACTGAGAGTTAACATGAACCAGGGAGGGGTCTGGGACAGAAGTTCCATAAACCGGTTTGACCTAAAACAGTTAAGTCTGATACTACATCTAACCAGGTTTATCTTAAACCAGTTTCGGCCATTTTGAAAGCGGTTTATGTGCACTGAACTTCTGTTATGTTACAAGTTTACAGCAGTTGCTGATCACTTAAACCAGATTGTGTATAACTTCTGTCCCTAGCCCACATGGCTTTCTGTACAGGAAGAGATATATTCCATTGTGCAAGACAGTACTCTAGTGACATGCAGAGATGAAGCTGTGTGGTCCTCTGGATCAGGGTGAATTCAATCTATTTTGAGGAAACATGTTCAGTCATTCATGAAACTACTCAGTGCATTTTGGGGATTTTCTTCATTAGGCACACACCTTGGCTCTATCAGCTTCAAGTGAAATGCGGTAAGCTTCATCCTGTTCTCTCTTCACATTCTCCCTAGCTTCACGTTCATCCTAAAAGAAGAAAATTAATTAGCAAGCCAACATAATTATTTTACATTCACTGGCACTCTTTATACTATACATCTTATTAATATTTGGTTGCATTACTCAATCAATCTCTGCTTGCACCACTGGCATAAACATGTGTAAATGGCACAGATAAGGTTGTATTTAAACTGCTTTATTATAGATAAAGATAGATACATTATAGGTTTGGGAAAAGTTATCCTCAGAAAAAATAATTTATTCCAGAGCACGAGTTTTCTATTCAGTATCCACTTAAGTTCACAAGACATTGGCTAGTCCTACCATTTTAGCCTACAGAGAAAGGTCTATTCCCAATTCCTTACTCAGGCAAAAGTCCCATAACTTTCAACTGAATCTAACCCAGGTGCTTTACTTTTAAATATATGTTGATATAATGAAAATGCCTGACTCCTCATTCGGCTGGACACAACCATGTAAATATAGCAAAGAGACAATTGCTCCCCTTCAGGGCTTTCAATGTAAAGGGAAAGGATGGATAGATGACAAACAAGCAATGAACCTGATGGAAACTCATATTTCATATATTCATTAATGATCCCGGCACAGCAAATAAAGACATTTACCGATGATGCTGGGACACACTGTCAGTTCAGAGGAAGGTCGAAAGAGCTGGAGGGCCTAAGGGACTAGAATAATGCAAGGGATGCAATTTAACAGTATAAAAGCATAAAATCATGAATTTATAGATTAATAAACTGGAAGCTTATCAGCTTGAAATGACAGAGGATGAGAGAGACCTTGGTGCTTTAGTCAATTACAGAATTCTTATGAGCCAACAGTATGATGCAGCCGTAGAAAAGACAAAAGTGATCCTGTATGCATCAGATGAGCTGTTTCCTTTAGAGATAGGGAAGTATTCATTCCATGCACAAGGCCTCATCCAGAAGTTGTAAGACCTCATCCAGAATACTGAGTATAGTTCTTATCATCCATGTTCAAGTAAGATAAATTAAAGTCAGAACAGCCGCAGGACAGAGCTAGTAGGACAATGAGGGAAATGGAGAAACCACCTTACGGGAGAAAGCTAAAAAAGAGTTCAGCTTGTTTAGTCCAACAAAATGAGGGTTCAGACGGGAGTGGATTACTCTCCTTAAACACATCAGCAAGTAAACGTCAGAGAGGGAGGAGACCTATTTAAGCTAAGGGACAGTACCGGACAAAAGACAAACACGGGACAGCAGATGTAATAAGCAGTCTTAATGAATTTGGAGACTGATGGCAGAAAAGAGATTCGATAAGAGTTTGAGGAGCTCAGAACATTTCCTTCCCATTGCTCACCATCACCATGCTTACAAGTCTCCTCCTTCTGCCTGTCTCAGAAACTGCTTGTTTCTACACATTCTCTCCTACTTGTCCCTGCCTGTAGAACAGCAAGAGCAGGGGCAGGGGGAAACACCTATCTTTGTACTCTACGCCCTGCGCCTCCTCCGCTGCCTGCATCCCAAGTGCTGCAGTTGGAGGCTGCGACTTGCATGTTTATACAGCTCTGTGCTCTGCCTCTTTGGGGCCAGCCCCATCAAAGCGAGCATTTTCTGCTTTGTGATTCCTCCCTCTATATCCTACCACTGCAGCTAGACAGGTTCCTACAACCCAGGAGTGGCAGTCATTGAGACATATATAACACTATATATCTGTGACACTGCTGGTAACATTATCCTCTAATGACCAGTCACTTTTGATGCCATCACTAATGCCTCTAACAGAGCATCTAAACTAAAAACATGGTCCTCTATTTTTAAGAGAAATAAAAATATAATACGTAATTATGTACAATTGATTTTTGTGTTTCAATATATTATATTATCTACTAGTTTTATTGTACATAAGGGAATGATTTTGCAAATTGATCATTTTTCCTCCCAAGACTTTTCACAGGAACAGCTGGCAAGTACTCGGTTTGAAATGAGATTATTGGAGAGGTATGAATTAACTGTAATTATTATGTCATGTAAACATGCCAAGATGTACCTCAAACAAAAGTCTAATGTATTAGCAGTTAAAGGAACTCTAAATTAGCATACATCAGCAAGAAGAGGAGACAAATTGCTGGAAAAGGTAAGCAACCCCCAGCTTGAGAGTAACAAGATCATTTTCCAGTGAACTACTTAGTCTTACAAAAATAGGACCAAAGTCTATTCATCATTCTCCATTTTTACATTCCATTAATAAAAGACGGTAAAACCCTCAGCTTGCTCATGGGTTGAACTAGGAATTAAGAAAGTATTATTTGCATCATGGAAAATAATGCTTTTGTGACTCTGGATAACCTAATTCCTCTCCTGCCCTTCCTCATACTGAGATGCTTAATTAATAAGAATAAACCAGGTAAAATATGCAGATATTCCGTTTCTGGGGTTTGGAGTAGGAGGTCTAAAATAATAAAATAGCTATGATGTGTTCCAGTATTTGAAGGAAAAAAGGCTTTTCAAACACTACAGAAGGTATCCCAACTCTCCCTACGGAACAGGATATAATGGATAGCAGAAACCTCCTTCTGCCATGATGGGGCTTCCAGGTGTTATGTCTCAAACTGACCACAAGATTGCAAGAAACAGACCTACTGCTAGAGTATACCAAAAAAACAAAACAAAACAAAAAGGACACATCACAGACAGCCTGGGAAAGGAGAGACATTTTGAAAAAATCCTAAGGTATTTCCAGAAGGAACCTTATTCATTTTCAATTTTTGCAATTTAGCACATCAAACTCTTAACTCATTTATAGAAGTCAAACGAAATGCTACTACTGTGTTAGGAAAAACCAAAAGGTCATGTACAAACTGCTGGGGGGTTTTCTCCCAGAAGAATAAGGAGCCGTAACTTCATACTGTGATTCCATTAGTTTACCGAACCAAAGTAAAAACAAAATTAACTAAGAAAGTTTTCAAATTTGTTTAAGACTGAACATTAAAATTCTCACCAAAATGCCATACTACAAACCAGACGTGTGGTAAGGTACAGTGAACTGATTTTATTTGGCATATCAAACTGGTAAAAAGGGAAAAACATGAAAGAACATATTCTGTTGTTTCTTAGAGACAGAAACCATTTACATACAGCAAGGGTTTAAGCACAATTAAATAATTCTTTCAGAAGTAAAAAAAAGGCCTATTGGTTTAAATGATGTATTCTGGGTCAGAAAGAAGAAACTCCAAAAATACTGGCTATGTAGGTTCTTTTACAAGTATTCCGAGATAAATTTCAGGGATTTTTCTAACAGTTTATTTCCTTTTATTTTTGGCAGCGACATCCTCATAGAGGATGGATTATGAATAGGATGTCAGGAATGTGAAGAATTATTATGCATGACTGGCTGGTCTGGATAGAAATATGTGAAATCCCATAGTTCAGCCTTCATCTAGAGATAAACAATTACACAGCAAAGCCTGGATATTGCTGCTCATACTAAAATGTACCTTAGAGTCAAACTGATAACTAGAGTAGATAGCATTAGCATGTAGACATTTTTAGTTAAGAAGAGTGAGTCTCATATTCTCCTAAAGGAGCAAGACTGGAAAGGACCTCAATACGCATACAAAATATTTCTACATATGCATTTGTGCTATGTTACAGTTGCTTACTATTACTGTGCAAATCCAAACATGATACTAGGTGTTCTCGCAAGGCTATTCACTTTCCCAAGTTTGCAGTTACACCCTGGATACATTTTCATGTTGTTCTTTTCACTTTTAATGTAATTTGCTATTTTAGTCAAGATTTTTCTAGAGAAATCACACAAAGCAGCAAGGATGACTCACTGCTCCCAGAAAACAAAACAAATGTTTTGTTCAAGTCTGTTCACAAACTTGAACAGAAGCAAAAGAAAACCGCTTTCCAAATAAAGTCTTACTGTGTAGAAGTGAACAGGCAAAGAAAAGAAGAAAGTTTATTAGTTATATCACTAAGCCACTAAACAAACACTATTCTTACATAATTATTTTTCATCTCATAAAGAAAAAGTAACTTAGCTGACAAGTGTTTTGTGAAACCCCAAAGCAGTTGGAACACTTCATGAACATGATTTCATTTCACAATACTTTTGTGAGATTGGAAAATGTCATCTCTATTTTACAGGGAAGTCAGGCACAGATGAACCACATTGTACTCAAGGCCACACAATAGGTGCATCAGATCATTAGAAATTAAACTCCCAGGTTAAATGACACAAATGGCAATACAGCAAATTATAAAAAACACAGTTTTAAATTTTTAGAAAATCTCTGCTGCTTCTTAAAAAGAGAAGCCATATGGACGGACACTTGTAGGTGCCAAATTTAGATTTTAACTAAACGTTTTATAAAAATGAATATGAATAAAATATTCCATTTTGTATTGTATATATATAATTTTCAAATATCATCCCGTTACTGCTGTGAAATGAAAGAACTCCCTCCTAGTGCAAGAGAAACAGAATGTGAATGAACTATTAATTATGCATAAGTCCAAAAGGGAGCACTCAGTTTTCAAGTCTGATTCTTTATAGATTCAACTGCCCATATCCAAAGTTGTGCTAACTTGATTATAGGCAGACACATGCATGTGTCTCATTTTGTCTGAAAGATAGGCCATGTGGGAAGATAGATGAGAGCCGTCATATTAGATACCCATGTTCTAGTCTCAGAAGACACCTTCTGCAACTTTTCAGTTGCTTTGTCAAATGGGCAGGAGGAATTAAAATTACTCACTACATTGGGTAGGTGTCAAGGCCTTGGTCAATAACAAGGTTATTAACTGCACAATCATATTACTACCAATTAGTAGAAAAGCTGAACTAAGGACACATGGGCTTCTGTCTCCTGTGGTGGGTATTTCACTGGGAGGTTTCTCTCCCTCGCTCTCTCAGCAAGAGTGGACTGAGAAATATGGGACTCATGCCAGGTCTGAACAATGCATTTGTTTTTAGAACTGAGCACAGAGTAACAACCAGGTCTTTCTTCAGACTGAAAGTTACAAGAAAAATTGCAC